AAGCGCAAAGGTAGCAATCTGCTATGCACATCAGACAATCCTAGACAGTGTAAACATAGATGAACTCTATGATGAATTCGTGATGAGATCGGAGACAAGGTGAAAGATTTTCGGAGATTAGTATGACTTATAAGATAGTTCACTAGTTGTTATGTTGTTTCCGTTCACCCTTTTTAAAATTCACGTCATTGTATCTTTATTTTTTATTTTTTTTAACTCATTTTATTTCCTGATATTTCCTAAAACATTTTTCATTTTTGGAGAAAGATTATTATGTCACAACTTATTTTTGTTTTATTAAAAAGCTGATGTAGGCCTATGTCACATGCGTACGGATGGGGGGGGGGCTTGGGGCGCTAGCCCCCCCCCCCCCCCAAATAAAATGCAACCATGACTTATTTTCAATTTCATACAAGTGATTTATAAATGTTCGTGATATCACATGATTTTCAACAAAATTCGCGTTTCTCCATTTCTGTTGCAAACTGACACATTCCCAAATAGCCAGGAAGAGCATATATTTTGTATAGTCACTAATGGGCCTAATTAGTGGCCGTTAACACTAACAGTAGTATACAATTCCTTTCGAGAAGCTATTGCGACAAGCACTGCCGGGAGATAACATGCTACCCACCACTCGGGCTGTGCATGCAAAGATTTGCGAACGAACGTTCCTTACGTACATCATGTGGGGAAACTGAATTATAAACTAATATAGAGAACAAATGAATCGTCTTCTTTCTCTAATAATTTAGTGAAAAAGGCAAAGCTTGAGCGCATTGCGCGGAAGGGGGGCAACTGAATTCAAACTAGGATTAAGAGTTATAATTAAATGAAACGTCAAAGTACACGATACAACGAATCTTCTTCTTTTACTAATAATTTAATGAAACGTAAAAGCGTCCGCGCATAGCGCGGAATGGGCGAAAATGATTTCAAAAGTGGATTAAGAGTAATAATCAAATGAAACGTCAAAGCTTCCGCGCTTCGCGCGGGAGGGGGGAAACTGAATTCAGACAAGGACACGATACAACGAATCGTCTTTCTTCTCTAATAATTTAATGAAACGGTAAAGCTTCGGCGCTTCGCGCGGGATGGGCGAAAAATGAATACAGACAAGGATTAAGAGTAATAATTTATTGAAACGTCAAAGCTTCCGCGCTTCGCGCGATAGGGGGGAAACTGAATTCACGAAGGACACGATACAACAAATCGTCTTCTTTCTCTTATAATGTAATAAAATGTGAAAGCTTCCGCGCTCGCGCAGGAATGGACAAAAATGAATTCAGACAAAGATTAAGAGTCGAGAATGGTACATCGAATCGTCTTTTTTCTTAAATAATCTAATGAAACGTCAGAGCTTTCGCGCTATGCACGGAGGAAGGGGAACTTGATTCAAATATTAAGGATAGAGAGTCGAGAATGGTACATCGAATCGTCTTCTTTCTTGAATAATCTAATGAAACGTCAGAGCTTCCACGCTTTGCGCGGAGGAAGGGGAACCTGATTCAAACAAGGATTAAGGGTCGAGAATGGTACATCGAATCTTCTTCTTTCTTTAAAAATATTATGAAACGTCAGAGCTTCCGCGCTACGCGCGGAGGAAGTTGAACTTGATTTAAACAAGGATTAAGAGTCGAGAACGGTCCAACGAATCGTCTTCTTTCTCTAATAAATTAGCGCTTTGCGGAGGAGGGGGGAACTCGCTTCGCACGTTTTGCGTGCTTACTACCGCCCCCCCCCCCCTAAAATGAAATTCTTGCTACGCGATTGGGAGGGGGTGCAACTTGCCACACGCTTCTACCTCTTGGTTGCTTTGATCTATTGTCGAAAATATTTTGGCACCTATCATCCCCCTCAACCACGGATACAAATCAACACCCTTGCTCAGCGGCTACTGTAGACAAAAGAAATACATCAATTATCTACTATGGATTTTATCTTCTAAATCAGTATTTGTTGTAAAATCCACATGCCACATAAAATGAGTCTGGTACTTATAGACTACTCATCAATCCACCGTACGGTGAATAAAACATCTCATTACATAATATACAATCATTGAACCGACTCGTTTATTACGACATCATAAACACAACCCTTCTCATTCCAGGTGATCAACAACAACACGCTGGATAACAATATGAAACAAATTCCGTGTTATTAGGCCTATATAGCGGTAATTATCCAAACTGAATGTCTATACCAAGCTCCGAAGGTCGTATACTTATGAAATGTGGCTTAATCAATGCCACGCCCAAAAAATGTAAAGACGTCTTTATAGACGCAACACAATTCAAGTCATGCTATAAAAAAACACTTTCATGTATTGAGATAACTATCATATAACATCACTATTCTTATTCATATTATTTATTCATATTCATATTTATTTCACTTCCAATAGAAAGGTAAACAAAGATATTACATTTGATTTCATACATAATTCATTTTTTCAAGAAACTATACAAATAAACTTTGCACATAATAAAATTATTACAAGAATTTCTTAATTTCTGAGGAAATGGGGGGATCCACTAAAGAGCAGTGCTTGTAGTTTGTGGATCCCTCAGAAAAAATATAAATAAAAATGTTTCAAATTTTGCCTACGAAGACTTAGAAAACTCAAGACAATATTTCAAGACAACATACGATTTACAAACACGAAACGAACAAGGAGAAGTAAAACAGAAAAGAAGGAAAGGGGGAAAGGGGGAAGGAAGAAGAAGCAGGACAAATCATGACCGGAAAAAAGTAAGTTATAATGTTAATTTTTGGGATGGTAAAATCATAAGACCAAATAAATATTAAATTAATCGAGCAGTTGATGAAGACCTAAATGAAAAATTAAGATGATTACCAACTGTTATCAGATTGTTCTTGTATATTACTATAAGATTTGAGCAAAAATGTTTTAGATTTTTCTTGAAAGAATTTAGGGATGGACTATTTTTAATACGTTCACTTAGAGAATTCTTCGCTAATAAAGTTCTAAAGAGTGGTAGGTGAAACTCGTTTGACCGTCTAGTTGGGTAATCATGAAATGACCGATTTAGGGGGAACATGGCATCAAATATATGTGGAAGGGTCTTTTTTTAATACTGATACATCAATTGTCCTAAGTGAAGTAGATACAGGTCACTTGTTTTGAATAGTCTGCCATTAACAAATAACGGGTTTGTGTGTGAGAGTGGAGCAGAATGGTAAATAATACGGAGAGACTTCTTTTGTAATAATAACAGTCTATTTAATAGAGTTTGCTGCGTGTTGCCCTAATTAAGTACCCCGTCTGCAAATATTATAAATGAAAGGACATCGGATGATTCACAAAAGTCATTTATATAAATAATAAACAATAAAGGGCCCAACAAACTTCCCTGCGGTACTCCACAATTTACGTTTTGCATATTGGAAGTATGATCATTCAAGAATACATATTGTCGTCTATTGGATAAGTAACTCCTGAACCACTCCAAGGCCTTCCCACGCACCCCATAATGAGAAAGTTTGAATAATAAGATGTCATGATTGATGGTGTCGAAGGCCTTGGAGAAGTCCAGGAAGATGCCAACCAGGTGAGAAGAATTGTCTAAAGCATGCGCTACTTTGTCAATAAAATTCAATAAGGCATGTTTTGTATTATGTTGATTTGTTATTTGATAAATTCATTGCTTGTTTAAAATCTTCCATGTGTTTTGAATATCGTTCTTATATAAAGTTAACTGGTTCGTAAAGTATTTATTTTGCTAATCGTATTGCTTTAGTTAAAATATTTTTTATAACTGGTGTATCTAGCTTTTGCCTGTTCAGTACCTTTCATTTTACATTTATAGTATAAGTTATTTTTTCTGTTAATTGAACGTAAAAGTGATTTAGAAATCCATGGAAGTCTCGGTGATTTTTTGTAGGTAGTTCCTTTGTCTTTAACTTTAGGAATGTGAATATCTAATTGATCCTGAAATATGTGAAGGAAATTATTAAAAGATAAATTTACGTCGTTATTATCGTAAACACACGACCAGTCAGCAGAGTCTAAAGATGCGCCAAGAATGGCAATGTTTTCCTGGTTAGGTCTGCGTCTTGATGGTCTGTGATGATTAACTAGAGTGCTTAAGGGTAAAATGTGACATAATAGGAAAATGATCCGTTATATCAGATAGAATTACAGAAGAGTCTTTGTTTATAAAAAGTGGATTTTTTAGTAAATCTGTAAGGTACACTATGAAATCATTTGAACTTGAACTTGGAGGTCTATACATAATACCCATGATTATATTTTTAGTATCCGGAACATGGATTTCGATAAAAAGAGACTCCAGTGTTTCGTTCATTACATTAATTTCATTTAGAATTGAATAGTCGTAATTGTGTGAAACGAAAAATGCGACACCCCCGCCGGGTCTATTTTTTCTATTATTGACAACAAGATTATAACCATCTAATGCAAATGGTAGGTTTGATTCACTGGATAACCAGGTTTCCGTAAGTCCTATCATGGAAAATGACTGTTTGGATGCTTTAAAATATCAATATTAAAATTTCCCATTATGAAAACATCTTTGTTTATAAAAAGTGGATTCTTTAGTAAATCTGTAAGGTACAATATGAAATCATTTGAACTTGAACTTGGAGGTCTATACATAATACCCATGATTATATTTTTAGTATCCGGAACATGGATTTCGATAAAAAGAGACTCCGGCGTTTCGTTCATTACATTAATTTCATTTAGAATTGAATAGTCGTAATTGTGTGAAACGAAAAATGCAACACCCCCGCCGGGTCTATTTTTTCTATTATTGACAACAAGATTATAACCATCTAATGCAAATGGTAGGTTTGATTCACTGGATAACCAGGTTTCCGTAATTCCTATCATGGAAAATGACTGTTTGGAAGGGTTATCTAATAATAATAACAATTCTTTAAAGTGTTTTGTAACACAGATAGTGAGATAAATGAAGACTCAATATTGTGGTCCAGGTTGTTTTGATGTCATACTTTATTCTCGAAAATAAACCCGAGAAAGGATAAACCCTGAAAGAATACAATAGAAAATAAAGAATCATAAATTGTCATATTCATAAAGAGTTTCAATAAACAAACAATCAGTAATACAAGTAGTAAGCTGGTAGCTTGACTCTACTATAATCACATTACAATGTTTTCCTCAACTAAACTCCTATGCAATTAAGTGACAAAATATGGCGTTATGTAAACGTAAAATAATATAGATTAGAGTAAGGAGGAAGAGAAGAGTGAGAGACAAAGAATGCATCAAAGAATATATATATACATACTAAAACCTAAAGTAACACTTAATATCTATTAAGTTAAAACATAAATGAATTGGTTAAATACAATGTTTGTCAACTAAATCCAATTGTGTAACATAATAACAATTGATTATTAACGACAGAGACTCGACTTGAAATACAAGTGAGAGATGAAAGTTAAACCAGATTAAGTTAAACCGAACTAAACTTAAATCAGATTAAATCTCTAGTATGAACAGACCCATGCATTCCTAATGCACAGTACGCCCGACTAACAAGTTGCCATAGTGTGAACGGGGTTAAGCCCCTTGGCAATGTAACTACATTCCTGAGTGACCTATCACCTCTAGTCTAAACATTGACCGAAAGCTACACAGAAGCACATTGTGTGTAGTTTCAACAGAAAATGCAACTGGTCAACAGCAGTTCAGGCTGATGACAGATTTGTTCTTGATACTCGATAATATTCCAAGAATATCTATCGCCTAGCAACAAGCCTTAAAGATACCTTTTCTTGATAAACTTAAAGCACAATGATATAAGACAATAATCGTTACTGAATATGAATATATACAAATGATCCTATTTCGACAAGCAATATCATTTTGGATATGAATTCTAAATATATGCTTAGCAAATATACCTATCTCTGTTCCTACAGAAATTATCCAACAAATAACATTTCAACAGTTATGCACGGATTGTACAATTAATACTGATAAAAAGGGCAATGTTTCTCTAGTACAACAATAGTGAAACCTCTTTGTAAAGAAATACAGACAGAAGTTTATGAAGCATGATTGGATTAAGTAAATCAATGGAACTATATAATTCTCAGATAGAGGAAACATATCAAAGTATCCATGCAAATCATGTTCAATAAAATACTTCTAGACCTTTGTCTCACAAGACAAAGCAAACCAAATACAGCACATGTATAGCAAATGTTAATACAAATATATTCTCATGCAACGAAATATGAAATGCATTTACGTTGTGAACACAGTCAAGTGAATATATCTCAGAGAAAGTACTAAATTACCTTCGATATATTCGGGAAATCAAAGAGATTGCTCTCTCGCTCTCTCTCAGATTACACAGTAATAATACACACAAAACATACATTTTGGCAATATATAATAAATATATAAACTTACCCCTATTGGATGGAATTTGTCATGGAAAGTCAAATATCGTACAAGTTCTCTTCTCTATAGCATGGGTGTTGTCTCAAAGGTGGTATGAGATGGAATGAGTGGATTTTACCCTTCCTCATCCAGATGGGCGGTAGCCTTCACTCTCCCACCCTCTGGAGGTAACCACAACATTCTTTAGAGATAAGATTTACGACGTGTACAAGAGCTCTATTATGCGGGACCTAGAAAGTGACTAATGGGTTTTCTGAGGATCACTGCTCAGAAACTGCACAGTGTTGATTAATAATTAAAAGTAAACAATATTATAACAAACATATTAAGATCATTATGAATAATATCATAATGAGATTCCAGACTGTCACATTCTCCCCTACTTGATGTTGTCGTCTCTGACAACTTTGGACAATTCAAAGATTCAAAATGAGTTAAACAAACAAATACGAAAATAATCGTTTAAAAATTTAGTGAGTTGGGTTAGAATTAGACATCATTTGCATGAACAACAAATGAGATTTGGTAATGTCAGCTACAATTTCGGACGAGAGGTGTGGGGGGTTCCCTTTCAACCGAGCAGACCTTCTGACAGGGACTACAAGTTCGTCCTCCGGTTCGTCCTCCTGATCGGAAACAGTAGGTTCAGTAACGTCAGAGTCCCTAGCTAAAGATACTTCATCTTCGGCTATCTGCTGTTCAGTTTCTAGTTCAACCTGAGGAGCTGGGTGCTCCCCTACTCTTTCGGAAGTACCTGGTGGATTGTCATCTGTAAGATTGGTATTCTCATCGGGTCTTCGAAAGAGTACCTCTCTCGGCTCGTCGTCTTCGTCGGTTTGGTTGTTGGATGGAAGGGCGGTCGGTTGAGGGTCCTGTGTGGTGTCATCGAAACGATCTGGGTTGATGTCACCTACCAGTCCACGTGAGTCTAGAAGGTCTCGACGATGAACTGTCTTCTGTGGACCTTCATCCTGTAACGGCTCGATGACGTACACGTTCCCCTCGGGGTTGGGTCGGGCTACCACCTTGAACGGAGTGTCGCACCAAACATCCTGAATCTTGTTCCGTCCAAGGACACGATTCCGTGTGAACACTCGTGCTCCAATGACAAGGCTTGTGTCCTCAGCGGTGCGATTGACCCTCTCCCGTCTTCTCAGTGCTTCCTTCTCTGTCATCTGTCTTGCCAGGTCGAAGGCAGTCCTCAGGCGTCTATGATGAGCCTCCAACCACTCTGAATCGGATTCAGAGTGTTGAAGTCCTAGCTGGCGGTCAATGGGCAGCACCGGCTCTCTGCCGAAGAAAAGATAATATGGCGAATAACCCGTCGAAGAATGGGGTGTGCAGTTGTAGGCGTACACCAACTCAGGCAGATGTTCAGGCCATCTTCTCTTCTTCTCCGGCGGAAGAGTACGCAGCCGGTCATGCATCGTGCGATTGAAGCGTTCACATTGTGCATTGCCCTCTGGATGGTAGGGAGTTGTCCTTGTCTTCTTTACCCCATACACTCTGCAGAGCTCTTTTACTAGACCACTCTCGAAGTTCCGACCTTGGTCGCTGTGCAGGCGCTTAGGTACTCCAAATCTCACAAACCAGTTGTTTACAAGTACCTTTGCGACCGTAGTTGCCCGCTGGTCTCTGGTAGGTACGGCTTGTGTATATTTCGTAAAGACGTCTGTCAGTACTAGGACATTCTCAACCCTGTTAGAGCTGGGCTCTAACACGGTGAAGTCTATCGCTAGTACTTCCAGGGGCTCCCTTGCAATGAGTGATCCCATTTGTGGATGTAACTTCTTCCCTGCCTTGGAGAGTAAGCATCGCTGGCAGCTTTCGCAGTGGGTGCGGATTTCTGCCTCCATTCCTGGCCAGTAGAATCGTTGAACCGCTAACCTGGTGGTCTTTTCCGAAGCTTGGTGGCCAACTTCGTCATGGAGTGCACGTAGGATGTTGCTTTTCAAGGCTCCAGGTACCAGCAGTTGATTGATAGGTTGCCCCCTTAGCGTAACCCTGCGATGTAGAATACCGTCTACAAGAAGGAGACGTCCCCACTGTCGCAACAGTTTCCGAACTGGCTGGTCTTCCTTAGCCATCTGCCTCGGAGTCGGGGCACTATCTTCCTCCTTGTAGGTCAGCATTTTTCCGATGACAGGGTCGTTCCTTTGCAGAGCTGCCAACTCTTCTCTGGGCAAGGACGGAAGGGTAGACAAAGCTGTCCCTTCCCTGCTGCTGTATGTGTCCGGTATCTCTAAGGCTTCCTCTACTCTTACCGCAAGCGCTGATGGCACTGGTGTGGACAAAGACGAAGGATGGATTTTCAGACTAGCTCCAACTTCTTCGAGTCTCCCTTGCTCAATCCCATGGTCCATTTTCCTGCTCAAGGCGTCTGCATTAGTGTTCAGCCGACCAGATCTGAACTTGATCTCAAAGTTGAATTGAGCAAGGTCCGCCTGCCACCTCATCTCTGTTGCTCCCAGCTTAGCCGTCGTCTGCAGATAGCTGAGAGGATTGTTGTCCGTAAAAACAACAAACTCGGCCCCAAGTAGAATGTCCCGGAACTTCTCGGTGATCGCCCAATAGAGCGCAAGGAGCTCCAGCTTCATACTACTGTAGTTATTCATGTTCTTCTCGTGGGGTCGAAGTCCTCTGCTAGCGTATCCGAGAACGACTACGCGGCCATCTTGCTTCTGTGAGAGTACTGCTCCAAGTCCATGAAAGCTTGCGTCAGTCTCTAGGATGAGTGGTCTAGTGAAGTCAGGGTGACCTAACAAGGGTGCAGACGTCAACTGGTCCTTCAGTTCCTGAAACGCCTTGTCACAGCTCTCGTCCCAGGCCTCTGCTACCGACAAACCATGAACCACCCTCCTAGCACTGGGTACTTTCCCTTTCTTGCCCTTGCTCTTACTCTTTTTCTGTTGTTGTGCTCCTCCAACGAGAGCATGAAGAGGTGTTGCAATTGTTGCAAATTGGGGAACGAACCTTCGATAATACCCGGCCAGTCCAAGGAACGACCGGAGTTCTGTCTCTGTCTTGGGCGTCTTCCACTCCTGGATGGACCTGATCTTGTCTGGATCTGGAGAGATGCCTCCTTCTTCCACCATATGCCCTAAATACTTGAGCTTTTTCTTGAAGAGGTGACATTTCTCCACCTTGATCTTGAGGTTCATCTTGCGAAGGCGTCCCAGAACCATTTCGAGCCTTTGAAGAGTTTCGTCGAAGTCTCGTCCAAACACAAGGATATCATCAAGGTAGGTAAGAATTGTCTGAAAATTCTGGTCGCCGAATCCCTTATCCATTAGCCGCATGAAGGTAGCTGGTGCGTTGCATAAACCGAAAGGCATTCTTACGAATTCGTACAACCCGCCAGTACCAACGCGAAAAGCTGTCTTTTGGATATCTACCTCAGCTACTGGGATCTGGTGAAATCCGTGGGCAAGGTCCAAGCTGCAGAAGAAGCGAGCTCCTCTCAATGCCTCCAATGCTTCTTCAATCCTTGGAAGAGGATATGCATCCTTGTGCGTCTTGGAATTAAGAGCGCGGTAGTCAACGCATAACCTGAGCTTGCCGTCTTTCTTCCTTACCAAAACCACCGGGGCTGCATAGGGGCTGGACGACTCTCTGATGACACCCTTATCTAGATACTGTTTGAGGTATTCCCTTACCTCCTGCCAATGATGGGGCGGGATCCGCCTATGTGGGACCTTGACTGGAACATCATTGGTGGTGTAGATCCTATGGTCTACGTCTTTGCACAGGCCGATGTCATCTTCATCTTTGCTGAAGACGTCCAGATACTTCCCTATGAGCTCCTCCATGGCTCTTTGCTGCTCCAGGGAGATGTCTCCCAGCTGCATCCTCCGAAGTATCTGTTCGACATCAGGAGATGAAGATTGTCGATGCTCCTCGACCCAGGCTGGTTGAGGACTCTCTTGTCGGTCGACTTCCGAAGCATCATGAACGATCCCGATTGGTGTCCTAGGCTGAATGTAAATGTCTCTGCTTGAAAGGTTCATTACAGGAACATTAATTAAACCGTTATCTGTGATATGAAGGAGGGATGATATTACCTTGACGCCAGGCTGGAGATGTTCTCCTTCGATTTCCTGGATGATCGCCGTGCGTATCTCCCCCTTCCTAGCAGGTCTAACCGAGACCTGAACCGTTTGTAGAGACCTTCCCTGAAGTAATACTGGTGCAATGCCGGCCACTCTTCCCAGTCCGCCGAGCTTGGTCGTAGGGTCTACAAAGATTTCCTCATACAAGGCCAAGACACTCACCCATGTAGCATCTCTCTCACCCTTGATCTTCCTGAGGAAATCCTCTCCAAGTTCGTCTTGCAGAGCATTCCGCATGTCCCTTAGGACATTTGAGCCTATTACTCCAGGAACCTGTCTCTTCCTCTCTCCTATTGCTTCAGGAGGGTCCCTCACAACAAGGAAACCCATGTTGTGAAAGCTCCTCCCAAGCACCCGAACCGTCAGCTCGACGTATCCGCAGTAGGGAATCGTAAGTCCTTGGGCTCCACTGATGCTGAGGATACGAGACACGTCTATCATCAACTCGCTACCGAGGTGCTTCCTATAAAATGCCTCGGTCACCGTTGATACCTGTGCCCCCGTGTCCAACAAACATCTAACGCAATGTGCAGGTCCAAGGTTGAGGTTGACCTCCGGACAATCACCTACTGCTCTCCTTAAGAGCGCTGAGCCGTCGAATGACTCACCCACCGTCAGGCTCTTGACAGTGGGAGCTATTCGTTTAAACCTGGTGCACTCGATGAAGGTCTAATCGGTGACTCACCAAGTTTCTGTTCTCTCCTAGGCCTTCGTTCTGGAACTGGCTGGGGGCAGTTGCGCCGAATGTGGCCCTTCTCGCCACAATTATAGCATTTCCCGTCCCCTGAAGGTGTTTGTCGTCTGCTTGTCAGAAGGGAACTAAGCTGGTCGAGTTGCACCTGCTGGCGCTCCATCTGCTCGGCCTGCTTCTTCATAAGGTCCAGGATGTCTTTCTCGACAGCGATACTCCTGACAGCCGCCTCCTTAGGTTTGGTAGGTGCCGGTCCCAGCCATTCCATAGCTCTGTCCCGAAGGGAGAAGAAGGAAAGGCTTGACGTTTCTGTGTTGAGCCGCCGTAGCTCGCGCCTTAGAGACTCATCCCTCACGGCCTCTGCGAATCTGCTCTTCAAAGATAGGTCCCGCTGGCCCTTAATGGTAGGGTCCAGCTGAACCATCCTGTCAAAGAGGTCCACCAGCTGAAGAGAGCAGCTCAATAGGTCCTGGGACGTCCCCTGCATGTATGAGTAGAACTTTTGCTGGAGTTGGGGAAGGCTGTTGCCATCCCCAAACACCTTGGTTAGCACCCCAAATATAGCTTCATGGTCGTCCCGGACCTCGTCTCCCCTCCCGCTTACCTCTCTTCTTGCATCCCCCTCTAGGTATTCTTTCACGAAAGCAGCTGCCTCTCTGCCCTTGAGACCCCTTAGCTCCAGCTGGGCTCTCACGCTTGCAACCCAGTCGTGGACTGTCTGGTCAGAAGGACGGGTCTGCTTTCCGGAAAACACATCTAAGCGCCTCCCTGGAGCCACGTAGACTGGCCTGGTAGCACCTGCCGCTTCCCTTCCAGTCTCCTCTTTGACTTCTGTGGCCTCCTTCAGGGCTGCCCTCAGCATATCGATCTCCTTCCTGAGTTCTTCCATGCTCATCTGGTACCTGTTACTATATGCACAAAAAAGATAGAAATCTAGCTGTTGCAAAGAAACAATGCGTCGTTTGTTAGATCTCCACTTGAGGTAAGCGGGAAAATATGCACTTCAAAATATATAACTGAATTACATTATTTTTCTAAAGTTCTTTAGAGTCTTTTCAACAACTGTTCATTCTTGGGATTTCCATGCACTTGCTGAGCTCCACTTGCATCCGATCAGTCCGTAGAAGCTAGGGTTGCCCTTCAGGTTACTCTCGCGATTAACAGTTCTTATCCAGGGGGATACATCCAGCTCTGATCATCAGGGTCTACCAGGGTCTACCAGTGTCCGGCTCTACTCCAAGATATTGGTTGATCTCTCTCTCCTGTAGTGGATCAGCAATCCTCGTCATCCGTAGGGGGTTATAACTTATGTTGACATCCCTGCCGATTACGCCATTTGTAACACAGATAGTGAGATAAATGAAGACTCAATATTGTGGTCCAGGTTGTTTTGATGTCATACTTTATTCTCGAAAATAAACCCGAGAAAGGATAAACCCTGAAAGAATACAATAGAAAATAAAGAATCATAAATTGTCATATTCATAAAGAGTTTCAATAAACAAACAATCAGTAATACAAGTAGTAAGCTGGTAGCTTGACTCTACTATAATCACATTACAATGTTTTCCTCAACTAAACTCCTATGCAATTAAGTGACAAAATATGGCGTTATGTAAACGTAAAATAATATAGATTAGAGTAAGGAGGAAGAGAAGAGTGAGAGACAAAGAATGCATCAAAGAATATATATATACATACTAAAACCTAAAGTAACACTTAATATCTATTAAGTTAAAACATAAATGAATTGGTTAAATACAATGTTTGTCAACTAAATCCAATTGTGTAACATAATAACAATTGATTATTAACGACAGAGACTCGACTTGAAATACAAGTGAGAGATGAAAGTTAAACCAGATTAAGTTAAACCGAACTAAACTTAAATCAGATTAAATCTCTAGTATGAACAGACCCATGCATTCCTAATGCACAGTACGCCCGACTAACAAGTTGCCATAGTGTGAACGGGGTTAAGCCCCTTGGCAATGTAACTACATTCCTGAGTGACCTATCACCTCTAGTCTAAACATTGACCGAAAGCTACACAGAAGCACATTGTG